GTTAATTTTTCATGTCTTTAGGGTGTGAATGACTAAAATTGAAACCTCAAGGGAGGTGTAGGATAATATTCCTGACTATCACATATAGTCGTGATTAAAACAAATTCACCATTTGGGTGCGTTTGTTTCACGGAATTTTTTATCACTAAAAATATATGATTACCACTAATATAGATTACCTTGAAGATTAATGAGGGAATATCATACTAATATGTTTGATTAGATTGGTGAGTATAAATAATTACTATGTTTGGCTAGGAGGAATAAAATATTATCAAGGGATTTTTACTGAATTGCCCTTCCTTGTTAATAATATTATTATTATTTAGAACATTTTTTTAGCCCTCTACATTTGAGAATTTAGCTAAAACACCCCAACAACAAAAGTTTAAAATTTAACAAAATACTTTCAACCACACAAGACGACTGTCGACCACTGGCCACCACCACCGCTTGTTATCGACAGCCGTCGAAACGGCACACAATTGACCAAATGTGGCTGACCATGCACCGATCTAGCCATTTTCGGCCATATCAAAGGCCGAAAACGACCAGATGGTCGTGGATCTGTCCGGAAAGTTAGATCCATTCTAGCCATTAATGGCCAAATTTATGGCTGTTAACGGTTGTGGATCTGGCCAAAAATGGCCTGATCTATTATGGCCGTTTTCAGTTATGGATCCGGTCATTTCTGATCAGATCCATAGCCATCTAACCATTTTCAACCTTCGATCTAGTTGAAAACTACTAGATTGGCGCATGACCAACCAGATTCGGTTAGTCATGCGTCGTTACGACGATTACCGACGGTGGTGGCCGACGACCGACAGTTGTCTTTGATGGCTAGGGGTATTTTGTGTATTATCCATGTAAATAGTGAGAGTATTTCTGTCTAAAAAAATAATATATGAGGTTAAAAAAGTCATTTTGCACATTTGGACTAATTATTATTTAGTAGACATATGAGAGCATTTGTGTCCAAAATGTTGATTAATTAAGGGTAAAATTGGTATGAACAGTTGATTACCTCGGTAATGGAAAAATAACACCTCTCCTGACAATAATCTAATTACCCCCATGTTCACCAACAGTAACCACTATTTGCAATACAAGTTCACTGTAATCTTTCATTACTTGACACCCAAACGTAGTAATTTGCGGAAAAAAAAGATAGATTACAGTTGATATCTTCCATGCACCCGAAACAAACACACCCATTAAGTTTAAGTTAAGTACCAAATACACGGAGAGAATTATTAAAGTAACTAATACAACTAGTTTTTTGTTACCTAAAATACGAAGGCTATGTTTGTTTTATTATTTTGAGTAGGATTTTTGAAAAAGTTGAGTTGGATAGTTATTACGAGGTAGGATTTAAAAATTAACAAAAACACCTCTTAGATTTGTTAATTTAGCTAAACACCCCTACAATAAAACATTGAAAATTAACAAAAACACCTCCACCCACCTATTAAATGTCATCAGTTAGCCACAACCGCCGGAGGGTGGCCGGAAGTCGCTGTAATGGCGCACGACCAGCTGGATCTAGCTGGTCATGCGCCGATATGGCCTTAAGATCTAACATTTTCTAACCAAATTCACGGTGGATCTAGCTGGAAAAGGCTAGATCGGTGCACTACTAGCAAGATTTAGCTAGTAGTGCGTCATTACGCCAAATTCCGATGTGGTGGCTATAATCTAGCAAATGTGGGTGGGGGTGTTTTTGTCAATTTCTAAACTTTTTTGGGGGTGTTAGTTAAATTAACAAACCTAGGGGGTTTAAAAACGTCGAACAAAATAGAATAAAATTTTCAAAATAGGAAAACAAATATATATTTTGGGTAGGATAGGGAAACAAATATAGCATAAATTACTCTAAATTGTCCCTTTTAAATTTCTTATCAAATTTACTAAATAATTTGTTTTTATTAAATTAGCATGTGTTTAGTTTAATTTGTGTGTTTGAAAATGAGATCAAAAAATGGTAATACATTTTATGTACAACTTATATATATACTGTATAAACAAAATCTATTATCACTTTTAAGTTTAGAATAATAATATTAAAAAGTTATTTATATTTTTAAGAAAATACTAAATAAAATCTATTATTATCTTTCAAATCTCATCTTCAAAATAAACTAAATACAATAAAACTATACTTACAATTTTTTCATATAACTTTTTTATATAACTCTGATGTAACAGCCCGTAATTGGTCAACTCACATTTAGGCAAACAGGATCCACTGCAAGTTGACTAATCATGAACTATCACATTAGAGTTGTATGAAAATGTTGTATCAAAAAGTTATAAGTGTGGTGCTGCTCAACTAAATGTATGAAAATTTAATCAAAACACATTAAACATCAAATTCAAATAAGAAACTTAAAAAGAATAATTTAAAAATATTTTATCTTTTAGGTAAAATATTAGATGGATTTGTCACTATTAGAAGCCTCTAAATGTATTTATTACTTAATTCAAGTCTCATGGATGAAAATGTTTTAATCTTCATTATAGTCACTAAATTTTTTGCCACAATTTAGGAGTTGCAATTAAATAACTTATTTTTGGACTCTCAATTGAAATATATTCTGATTCTTCATCCTTTTTCTTAATTAAAAATCGATAGATAACTAATGGATATAGGTCATATTGTGTTTTTAGTTTTAAAAAAAAGTGATAATTTGGTTTAACAGATACTTAAATTTTAAAATAAATTGTCTTAAAAACTTTTATAAATACCATATTTCTCAGTTCACACTTGAAAAAATGTTACTCAAAAATTTTTATCCATTTGGGGCGTTTGGTTGAGGGTTATATGAGATTATTAGGGTTAAGTCACTAATAATTTTTAAATACCAATAGTTGTTACTATTAGTAATATTGAAGGTAATCTCATTACCTTTATTTTCTTAGGTATTCTAAGATTACCCGGGTTATCTTTTTTTATTACAATTCTATCATTTATTAATAAAATTTTAGGACAATAATGCCCTTATTTTTAAATTTATTTATATGAATATGACTTTTACTATTTAACCCCAATTAATTAACTTTTTAGACAAAATTACCCTTGAATTCAAAAAAAATTGCAGCCCACCTAAGTCACCACCCCACCCACTTGCTGCCGCCTGCCACCGGCAACCATCGCCGCGGCCAACTGTCGTCGCTGTCGGAACGGCGTACGGAAGGCCGAAAATGACCACTATGCACCGATATGGCCATTTTCGGCTAGATATCAAGCCAGATTCGTTGATCTGGCCGTCAATGGTCAGATTTATCACATCTGGCCATTTCCGGCCAGATCTTTGGCCAAAAATGGCCATATGACGCACAGAGACCATTTCCTGCCTTCCGTGCGCCGTTAGGTTGCCCGCTGCTGGCGACCTACGGTGGTTGCCGACTTCCGACAGTGGCTGGGTTAGTGGAGGTGCTTTGTTGATTTTCCAAACTTTTATTATGGGGTTGTTTTTGCTAAGTTTTTAAATGTAGGGGAGTTATATAATCCAAATAATAATCAATATTAAAAAATAATATAATAATAATATTTAATTAGAGGTCAATTAAGTACTTTTAATAACATACCCACCAATTTATTCCTCCCAACCAAACATATTAGTATAACATATCCACCAATTAACCAAATACATTTTCATAAAGATTTCTATTAATTTTCAAGGTAATTTAACTTTTCAGTAATCCAACATTTCCTGAACCAAACGCTCCCTTTAAGTTATTATACATTATTACACAATTTTTTTTAATCACCAAAAGGGAAGATTGTGTTTGTTTTATTATAAGAGGTGTTTAACTAAATTAACAAATATAAGGGGATTAAAAAATAATCTTACTAAACACATTTTTAAATTCAAATCTTACCAAACATATTGTGTTTGTTATTACGAAGATATAATTTGAAAATTAACAGAAACATCCTCTAAGTTAATTAATTTAGCTAAACACTTTCTATGATAAAATATTAAAAATTAACAGGAACACTCTCATGTACCTATTAAATACCGACAGTTGGCCACTATCATCAAATGGTGGTTAAGAGGTGTTTTTGTTAATTTTTAATATTTTATCGTAAGAATGTTTAATTAAATTAATAAATGTAGAATATTCAAAATGGTTGAATGGAATTTGAGAATATAGCACAGATATATATTTTGGTTAGGATAGGAATAAGATAGGAAGAAACGCAATACTGCACAAACAATGAACAACTTGGATGGACGGTGAAAACTGAAAACTTGGTTAGGATAGGAATAAATTCAGTTTTATATGTGAATTTGGTACAATGCTCCACCGTAGCTGAGGCTGTATTCTGGTAATATTTAAACTGGGTTTTCTCGGATGTTGAATAGTTCATTCTCACCTTCATAAAATATCCATTAAAAAAATCTAAAACTAAAGAAAAATTAATATTAATTTATATAATCCGTACTCTGACAACGACCACTGAAGGATGGTGGCACATGCCTGCTGTCAAATCAGTCCCAAATGGACGGTCACCATTCCTCTGTACGGACCCTTCAACGGTCCAGATTCCTCCTTCCAAAAACTCTCTCTTCTCTCTCTTCTGCTCTCAGGTCCAACTTGGTCGGGTCCCTTATAAGAGACACCACTGACATCACTCACTCTTTCTCTCTCAGCATACCAACAGTGACTTTCAAAAAGCTTTCATTAAAAGAAACCACTGTTTGTGATAGTGATTGGGCCACAACCTCAAGAAGAAACACCCCCCTCCCCTCTCTCTCATGACGATCTCGGTTCTGGGGTTTGATTTTGAGCACAGAATGTTGTTACTTTGAAGTGTTTTATGCAATTAAAGATGTTAATGGATTTGGATTTGGTTTGATTTGTGAGGATGGTGTGAATTAGAAGAGAAAGATATGATATGAGCTAATAAATACTCAGTTAGGGTTTTATTTAAAAAAAAAAAGGTTTATTTTTTAATATTAATTCTTATTTTAAGTGTTGTTAGTAGAGGAGTTTGACAATAAGGTGTGAATGAAGCTTTCAACATCAGGGTTGGGTCAACAGGGTCATGAAGGTATGCCTTTCTTCTCTTACTTTTGCTTCATTTTATTGTTTGTTGTTTTTAATAATGACTGTATTTAGTTCTGGGGTTACTTTAATTTCTAAGAGGCGTTTAATCAAATATCTGGTGGTCATGAATTAACTTGCGGTTTAGAAGGTTTAATCTGGGAAATGTTATGATGATGATGATGATGATGATGACAGGGGAGAAGAAATGCTTGAATTCGGAGCTATGGCACGCTTGTGCCGGGCCGTTGGTGTCCCTACCAACATTGGGCAGCCGGGTGGTCTACTTCCCTCAGGGGCATAGTGAGCAGGTTTTTGTTTTATACTCAGAAGAAATTTTATGTTTTTCTCCTTTTTGTTTGTGAGGAAGTTTGTGTGTTTTTGTCAAATTTATGTGTTTAGAAATATTTTTTTATGTGGGATTCCAATTCAAAGTGAAATGAACTTGTAGGTATCTGCCACAACTAACAAAGAAGTTGATAGTCAGATACCCAATTACCCAAGCCTGCCGGCCCAGTTGATATGCCAACTCCACAATGTCACTATGCATGTAGGTTCTTTGTTTTATTTGTAATTTGTGAAAAATAAGAATTTATTTGGTCCTATCTTGACAGTAGAAAGTTGAATTAAACTGTTATGTGTGAAAGTTTTAAAGGGGTTATTAGGTGATTAAAACTTATGTGGAATAGATTGCTTGCTCATATTATGCATAAGAATTGTTCAAAGCATAAATGAAACATCCATCAAAGCAGAGAAAAGAACACACTCATTTTTACATGGTTCGACAACATGCTTACATCCATGGGACCAAGTTTAAAAGAAGCAAATCCACTATGTAAACTTATGAGTTCAAGTACAAAACAAGAAAAGCATAGTTGCAAAACACTCCATGTTTTCAACACATCAATGTTCTCTTATTTAGTTGAATTTCAAGCCATCATAGCAAGCTTCACACACGAGACCACCAAGTCGCACTTGAGCTCCTCTCAAGTTTCAATAGCGAAGAATCAACTTCAGAATAATAGCTTGCACACATCCAAGCATCAACATGGAACCATGTTCCAGAATCGTCACAACAAAGACAACGTAAGATAAGGTAATTTTAAGCCTACCAAATCATATGAGAAACCTTAGACCAATACAAAAACCTTAGTGGATATTCAGTGATGAATCAGAGGCAAATAGGTTTCTTGAGGAAGACACTAGAAAAGTATGAATATATAGAGAACAACGTGACTAAGGTTTGGGGACAAAAAAGATAAAGTAAAACTTTTGTGTTTTTCTTTTTACACAAGAAATTTGAGACCACAAACAAAAGCAATATTCTTTTTTCTCACACAACGAATAGAAAATGAACAAGTGGAAAGGCACAAAACAAAATATCAACAAGGAATAATATTGTCTAAAAAGCAAAACAGGCGCGTAATGTGATTGAGGAAAAATATATGTCAGATGTATTGTAAGCACATAGAATCAACAGTGCTCACACTTGTAAGGTGATCACCTTTAAAGAATGTGCCCACATTGGCAGAAAGGAAAATATAGTGTATGACTCAAAACAAAATCATAAAATGACAAAAAACACTAACAACTTGCACTAGTGCAAGAACTTTGACATTCATAGACAAATTGTTTTGCGACAAATTATATATATATTTTCTTGATGACTGTAAGTGCTCGGGCCAACTCGTACATCAACTAATCTTCTAAGACCCTAAAACTATCAGTCAGATAAGAGCGTCGGGTAAGAGTTCTAGTGGCCACCCCTATTAGCAACTGTAGAGACTCGAACTCGAAAGACCATATTAGATAATTCTCCTGTTCTTTTACCCTCAAAAGGAAAAAATATATATATTTGTTTCACTACTACGTATGCTTAAACGACAAATACTTTGCAATGAAATAACTAGAATAAGTTGTAAGATATTTTTCGATTTTGTAAACTGCTTAACCCATTATGTTTAGAGTAACACTACACTCACAAACACTTCTCATTAACTTTCTCTCACAAATGCCACGTATCGGCTTGCAATTGATCTGCTCACATGGGTCCCGCCTGAGCAAGCCAATTGCGAGCTGCCACATGGGGTTAGTGAGAGATGTTTGTGAGACTAGCATTATTGTTATGTTTAATGAAAACCGAACTGATTGAATTGTTAAATGATGAGAATTGACTAGTATAGTCCATTATTTAGTTTGTGATCAAAGAAGGTAAATAATTTACATAGGCTATGAAACTCATTTCGTAGTATAGTACTATCCATCCTACTGATGCAAGTAATAAATTTTTTTATTCATTTGCTGTTTGCCCACAAGGAATTTTGCTAATTCTGAATGTGATCTTTGTCAATCAATGATAAATATTTGTTGATGCGTGATTTTGATACTAACGAAATAAGCACATTCAAATTGCTATGAATTTACACATGAGGTGATTATGAGAGTGTTTATGATGCAATGATAAGATATGTTTGAAGAAACATAAATAAAAATTGATAAGAGAAGTTTTCAAATGATTCAAATGCAGTTAAGCAAATCCTACGTTCATTGTGATTTCATTAATGACTTTCTCTCTGATTGTTGATGCAACACACAAAGAGAAAAATCACTTAGGTTACAAGAATAATCTTTCTAGTAGAGTTTCTTCTCTATTTTCTTTGTACGCTTGTGTGTATCCAACCTCCTCTTTGAGGACGAGAGCTGTTTATTTATACTCTTTTCAGCTCAATGTCATAAGTATTTTTGCAAACTGTCTTGATTCGTAAAGATCTTTTTTCATCCATATCCTTAAATTTAATAAAATTGAGGCAGGTGTCCCTAATATCTTCTTGAGATGGTTTAGAGTTTGACAACTAATGTTATTTTGTCTTTGAGTGCCTATTGAGTCCTAATTGGTGGTGATGATGTCAGCATATATTTTGGCATAACAATCTTCATCTAGAAACTTAGACAAAATAAAACAGCAATATTTGTCAATCAATGATAATCTTCTCTCTAGAAAGTTAAACGAAACAGCTATATATATTTACACGAGCTAGCATGATTTTCATGGTTTCAAGTAGATGAGGCTTCACGTCTCAGTTTGATTAAAAATACCATATGAACAAAACAGCTAAAAAACATGCAATTGACAGCGTGAGCTTTTTTTATTCAGTCGTACCAACTCTACAAATATCCTATTAATAAGGAAGAACAAAAGAGATAATTGACATTCCCTTACAAAATATCTTCTTCTCTTAATTAAATCTCCCAATTATCTAAGACTTCTGAATTTTTTTTTCCAGTCAATAGTTAAGAAGATCAATGAAGTAAAACGTCAGGATTCTTCTCTTATTTTGAACCACTTGCTATAGAGAGTTAAGAGAGGAACCTCTTAAGGGACCAGTGGGGTCTGGTGACCCCGCTATAAAAAAAGTTGATTAATTTTACTTGGTTTTTTGTTTTGATCAGACTATACTTGTGTTAACGTTTTTAGATTTGATTCCATTCACTTAGTCTTCTTAGAATTATATTAAATTACTTGTCCCTCCTAACATTAATTCCTGAGTCGGCTTATAGTTTCAAAGTCAACTGATCTTCAGTTAGGAGAAGAAACTAAACCAAAAGAATCTGACGTACCATGAACATTTCACAGCAGAAGAAGTAATGTAGATGAGGTTGAGGGAGAAAAGCTAATTAGAATCATCCACAGTGCTCTTCAGCCAGCTATTGGTGCCCCCATTACACATAAATGGCTTTAAACTTTAAGCATGAAGCGTGATGAAGTTGACCAATCCACACACAGACACACACTTAGTGAAAGACAACATGATGAACAATGAGACTTTAGGGTTTCAGTTACCCCACTACTTTTTTAGAAGTCTTCGATCGGATCTTAAACTTTTGTTTCTTGTTTCTATCTCCATACGTTATGGATACTCATACAGATCATTTTACTCTTTCTTCAAGTCACTTCATTCCAACGTAGCTCCTTGTCTCCATCATGCAGAACTCTTAAATTTCTTAATAACTTACATAAATAAAATAAAGATTTATAACTGTTGATGTATAGCGTAGAGTAGTACTCGCAAAAGAGATACTTTTTTGTGATAGAATCGATTAATTTTCATTAGAGGAATTACGACACTATTTGACATAGAGGAAAACATCGTGTAGAGGTGACCATCACATTGGGTTACAATGTAAAGAATAGCGTTGCCAGTCCATCGCAAACGCAAACCAGCGTCAGGGTAAGAATGATTCATATACTTCTAGCACTGAAAACTTTATTCTGTATAATATAATAAATGAACACAATTAAAAGCAATTCACTGTATAATCGAGCATAGGGATGTCGTGCTGCCATTATCGAATTGATGCAGCAATTTTTTTTTCCAAAACAAAAAAGAAATTGTTGATGCTTGATTTTGACATCAACGGCAAAATGTTAAACTTCTTAGAAATTCACGTGAATAATTCATGAGAAGTGGTTATGAGCTAAGATAATATGGTTGTAGAAACATAAATAATAGATTGACAAGAGAGATTTTTATAGTGGTTCGAATGTTTAAAGTGAATCATACATCTACTATGATTTTATATTCTCTGATATTTTTTTGATATTGCTTGTAACGTGTATAAAAATGAAGAAATACTTTGTTTAAAGAGAAAAAATAATAAAGCTCAAATGTTGTCTAGCTCTCATATGCCTAGTTAGTCCATATTTTCACGAAGAGAGATGTCTATTATACTTTAAGGTCAATATATAAATGTTTTTGCAAAGTTATCTTGATACATGAAAATCACTCCTTAATCCTTTATTATAAATGGGATAGGATTGATATAAAATATTTTTTAAGGCGGTTTGAGTTTTTGACAGCTAATATCACTTTATCTTTAATTAAGTGCTCGTTGAACTCGATTGATGGTGGCTGACACTAATGTGTATTTTTAGCATAACAAAAATAATCCTAACCAGACAAGTAAAAAGAGAGTCAAAGAGAGAGAGAGAGAGAGAGAAAAGCCATACTTTCTTCGCAACTAGAAAGGAGAATTTGTACGCTGCTTATATTTTCCCTTAATTAACACTCTTTTAGGTTTGTTCTTTATCAGAAATAGTTAAATTGATGGTTCTTGTATCTTGATTGATGTTCCATTATCAAAAAATGTAGTTATTCATCACTCATTGTTCTCTCTGTTATTTTATCAACCATAAAAAATTGAATAAATTTAGATAATTAAAGCATCAATCCCATCTGTTATACATGCATAGTTAATGATTATGCATGCGTTATTTTTGAATTATACTTTGCGCGTTACATAATGAGGAAAAGAAACTTATTACAAGTGATTTTTACAACATAAAAGCGTTTTCACATGTTAATTTTTTTTTTTTTTTTTTTTTTTTTTTTTTTATGACAGAGATGTTCGAGTTAGCTGCGGGATCTCACTAATTCACTGAGACTTGAAATTATCAACTAGGTAAAAGCTCTGGTAACTACCCTATTTAACAACCGAAGAGACATCGAATTCAAGACCTCTTAAAAGTTATTGTAAACAAAATATATATATTTTAGATATTTTATAGGAACTATTTTAACAGGAAAACACTACCTTAACATTAGATTATGCAAAATTGTTAGTTATAAAATCCTTAATTTAGATGTGATTATATATATAACAATTTGTTACACTAATGACTAATTATGCCGACAAAGCACCCCAAACATTTTTTCTTATATAATTAGTTAATTACGGGGACAGATAATAGAGCTCACGTTACAATCACAAAAAAGCATTATCTCATAATGGATGCATTTTTCAAACAGTTTTCTTTCTTTTGCGGACGTCAGTATTTCAAAAATGGGACCAAAAACTATAAAACTATATTAAAGGAATAAAAATAAAAAAGAGACAGCGAGATTAACTCTATAGTAAAATGTTGTTATATTTCAATGCAGAACTCTTGAAATTTTTAACAAACGGACAAAAAGTAAACGTCTATTCGCTCGCTTGATTGTAAGCTTTATGAAGTAAGCGTTTAGTTCGCATATTAAAATTTCCAGGACGTCTGCATTAGAGAATTCTCTAAATATATATTAAGGTTTGTAAAGTGAGTGACTAAACGTTTAATTTTGATCTGCACGTTCAAAATTTCAAGATATCCATATAGAAAAGACTAATATATAAATTCAAGAAACATATGCGAAACAGATTTCTTAATTCCAAAACCAGACTTAACATTTTTGTCCTCTTTTATTTACTGCGGAGAAATGGAAAACATACTTACTTTACCAAAGGCTACCATGGAATAACCACAAATGATTATTGTGTTTTTCAATAAAAGTAACATATAAAAAGAAAAAAAAAATACTTTTATAATTCTAATTTGTTTCCAAATTGGTTGGGTTCACCATTTCATGAAACCATTGCTTTTGAAGGGTCTCGAATCTTCAGAGAAAACTATACCATATTTATTAATTTGATAAATTAATCAATCAACTACCATGTGAACACTAAACAAAAATTAGTGGGTGATTTTGTTAATAAAAGTGCATATTAATTGGTCATTATCAAAGATTCTCGGATCCACATCTTGATTCTTCTTTTCTTTTTATGAATAATTTTTTAACGTGATATTATGAAACCATTCTATCATAATCATACATGTATTAATTAAGGATAACAAGGGGCCAAATTAAATGATTAAGCTTAGCCACTTTAAATTACAGTCGCACATTAATAAAAAAGAATATATAAAGAAAGAAAAAGGGGAAAAAAATAGAGGAGGGAATTGATCTGATAATCTCCACCTACCAAATGGAATAAAATGTTTTGAACTTTTAAGGATACGTAAAATACAAAAAATAGATGCAAAAATTAATTGACTATGATAAAAAGAAGTTCTTGAATTAATTAATAATCAAATATATAACTAAGCACTTTTGAAAAGCCACTTTCTTTATTCAATTCTTTAGTGTGAAGAAACCTACTGTAACATCTACATTAGCTGTGGTGGAAATTAATACTAGTTAAGCCTTTTGGGTCAAAGATTTCTTTGCTGAATTATATGAAATATATTTGTATCACCTAATTACCATTATTAATTACTCCATTATGGATATTTGCCTTCCTTAAAGCAGTCAATTTAAAAATCTACGTATATTATGCACTATTTAATTAGTGTTGTGTGGTAAATACATCATGCATGAATTCAAGTCATATGTCCCAAGGATGCACTGTCACCAGGTTACATGTCGCTTCATTAAACGACTATTTCACTTATAAGTTTATCAAATGTTACTTCATTGGTAAGCATCAATTTGTGTCAGACCATGTGTCACCTCATGAAAGGGTTATTTTATGTGCAAGACCACCTTAGGCGATGTGTCATCTTTATAAGGGTTATTTCATCAATAAGTCCACGAGACAACAATATATAAAGGGGTTTCTCACCCTAGTAAAAGGATCTTTTATAAACACTATTTTCTAGCTAAAAAAACCGCCTCATCTTCTCTTTGAATTGAAGTCGCTTGAACTTGCAAAATATATAAAAAATAAAATAATAGTGGACGTAAGATATACACTTTGCATCCGAACCATTTTAAAAATTCTTTGTTCTTTGTATTTATTCCTCATTTTAATATTAGTCAAACACTAGAATACCGGTTTATTAAAACCCCTTGCATAGATTTTCTCACAAGATTTACATACTTTTCGTTAGTGCAAAAAATTGCATCACCAATTATATTAATGTTGCACAGTATTAATCATTTGCTAATTGTACATGTGTAAACATTTTATTAGTATGCATTCCATTTAAAACATTTCTATGAAAAAACATTTTTAAAATGTATCCAACAACGATACACAGAAAGAGATGTATACATGGATTCATATTCAGAGATACAGCAAATTAAATTAAGTAGAAGCAATCACTTTACCAGCCAATGTAAATTCTGGGTAAGAGCGGATAATAAAAAGGTAAGCAAAGCTGCTGCTAAAACCTTATCAAATGTGAAATAATAAACGTTTCTGATGTTTGCACTTCCAAGGAAATTCTCCATTTACATAATTAAAGGACCTTCTTTCTTGCTCACAGTCACTTATCCGCACACATTTTTAGGCCTGCTAGTTAACATTTAATAGAATGTTATATCCAGTGTCAAATTCATCATCTATAATGAATAAAAAATTTACCCAATTCCAAGATTTTTTTTGTAAAAATATATTATAGGGAGATGGGCGTCATCCCAATTGGATATTTACTAATAAAAGGATCTTGTAATAAACAACATGTTTATTTTTTCAATCCCCCATTTCTAGTTTTTTATCAGTAATAAACTGAGAATCTTGATCCAGATACCAAATACTACATACTATATATATTTCTTATACATTTTGTTGTTCAAGAAATTAATTAAGAAATTGCATAATTGCACCTCTCTCTCTCTCTCTCTCTCTCTCTCTTTTGGTGATCAGAGGTGTTTGTGTTAGCTTGCACACACCTCAACAAATCTATTGGGATCCTGAAGTTAACGATTAGGTAAGTTTCTCAGTGATCACCCCTATTAAGACCTATGAGAACTCGAACTCAGAAGATCATAAAACCTATTTTTACTCTTTCACCTTCAAAGTCACCGAGTGGTGGTTACCTCTCTCTATCTCTCAAAAACATGCACAAAGTCTGACAGAGTGGACTTAATCTTCAGTCGATGATAATGGAGTGAAAGAAGGCAATAAAATGTGTGTATTAAAGAGAACTGAGATTTGAGAAAGACAAAGACAGATGGATGATGATGAATCATGTTTCATTTAACTAAAATGTTTCTTTAAATTTACAAGTTTCAAATAATACAAGTAGTACTCTCAAGTCTTCCTGCAATGTCCCACCCACACCCTCTACTTCTAAAGTAGCTACCTAAATCTTTTTCTCATCTCACAATTTCAACCACTTACTTCTTTTTCTTTTTCTCTTTCATCTCTTGGGATTCTCTCTAAGTCAACCTCTTTGCTTCTACTATAAATAGCAAACACAAATCTCACACTTCTCTTACGACATACAGACAAAGAGAGTACCAAACCAAACCCTTATCATAATTAAACTGCTCCTTCTCTCTCTATCTCTTTTAATTTGGTGCAACAATGGAGAATGAGGATGTTGCCTCAATTCCTTCAACACCAGCTACACCTGGCACTCCTGGTGCTCCACTCTTTGGTGGGTTCAAAGGAGAGAGAGGTGGCCTTGGAATTGGAAGGAAATCACTTCTTAGAAGTCCATGCAAGTGCTTTAGTGTTGAAGAATGGACCCTGGAAGAAGGGAGACTCCCTTCAGTCTCTTGCTCAATCTCATTACCTGCTCCCCTTCCTGTCTCTCTTGCAAGAAAGGTATAATATAAAGCATCGAATTGAGTCTTAAATGAAACAGATATATCGAGAATTTTATCTCATTATTATGATATCAGTCTTTTAGCTCAACATTTTGGTGTATTAATTTCAGGTAGGAGCAGAATTCATAGGCACATTTATACTCATGTTTGCTGGGACTGCCACAGCCATTGTGAACCAAAAAACACAAGGGGTGGAAACCCTACTCGGCTGCGCCGGCTCCACCGGTCTCGCCGTCATGGTCATCATATTATCCATCGGCCACATTTCCGGAGCCCATCTCAACCCCGGTGTCACCGTGGCCTTCGCTGCCTTAAAACACTTCCCATGGAAAAACGTAAGCACATATATAAATTATATTACTTCAGGTTTCATATATAAAAATGTCCGAAGACCTAAATTAGTTTTAATTCGTTGTCAATGATTGCAGGTACCGGTGTATATCGGAGCACAAGTAGCGGCATCAGTATGTGCATCATTTGCACTGAAAGGGATATTTCATCCCTTCATGGGAGGGGGAGTGACAGTGCCTGCAGAAGGATTTGCTTACGGGAAAGCTTTTGCTTTGGAGTTTATTATCAGCTTCAATCTCATGTTTGTCGTCACCGCTGTGGCCACCGACACTCGAGCTGTAAGTGCATGCATGTCTTTCAATTTATTAATATTCTAACCCTCTTCTTTCTTTCATTCTTTCTTTAATGGCTTTCAAAATCACTTCCCAATCTAGACAATCCTTCCCTGGATAATGCAAGAGACACGAGTCTCTCTCTATATACATAATTTTTTATATGCAAAACTTAAGAGACAAGATCCAAGAAAAGAAAATTGGCATCCCTGCAAGTTTCCGTTTCCAATGATATTAATAATATGTGGTACATATTTAATTGATCCCAGTGACATTAATTTATCTGAGATGCAACTTGTCAACATCCCCCTAGAACCAAATTTTTTACTGAATTTTGCCTCACCAAACTTTCAAAACTACCTTTTTTACTCTCTCAATAGCCCTCTGACCCTCAAATTAATTGAAATTGTTTGACCCTCAAGTTTTTATGACTGGGTTTAGCTAGTAAAATCTCTTATAATTTAGTTGTTAATTAGATGAGAAAATGAAATTAAGAATAATGCGAACAGAATCTTCTAATGTGAAGATGTCTCTGAAACTGTGAGAATGCAGGTTGGGGAGCTGGCAGGAATCGCTGTGGGAGCTACTGTGACTGTTAACATACTCATAGCCGGGTATGTCAAATTCACACTTCATTTTAAGAGACTTTTGTTATTGAGAATTTTACTACTTCTATCAAAACCTTTTCAAACAATGAAAAACGTTTTTCTTGATTATAAAATTGTTTTTAAATAAACTATTAAGCGAGTGTTTTCTGTGGAAAGTCATTTAAGTACTTTTTTACGTCAAAAAGGCTTCTGACACCGCCATTGACTAAAAGACTTCTTTCGGGACCATTATTTAGATCCAATGAATGAAAATGGTGAAAATTAATGCAATAGTTTATCCAAACTCACGCGGCAAACATACTGTAACTGATGGGGATGTTTGATCCTTACAAAAGCTAGAACAGACAACAAAGTTTGACAAAATAATAGGCAAAAATCATCTGAGAATATAAAAGCACACTTCCAATGCAAAAGGACCAAGATATGGGATATATGTTAGAGATGAATTGACAATCCTTCAATAAATCATCTGATTTCTGTATACATCAAAATTCAATTATTCAACAAGTCGAGTGAAAATTATTACTATGATCTTAAGATCTTTTGAAAACTCTTTTCTTCTGTTACGTCGCAGACCTTCGACTGGCGGTTCAATGAATCCGGTAAGAACACTGGGTCCAGCCATTGCGGCAAACAATTACAAGGCCATATGGGTCTACTTAATAGCTCCCATCCTTGGAGCGCTGTGTGGTGCAGGAAGCTATTCTGCAGTGAAACTGCCAGAGAAAGACGATGAAACTCATGAAAGGCCTACAACAACGAGCTTCAGAAGGTGACCAAAGAAGAGCATCCCAAGTCGTACAAAAATAATCAAAGAACTCAGTCTGAACAAATTGCAAATGATCAAGTAGTTGACAATATGGAGACAGCTGCTCAGTGATTCCGGTGGTACATAGAAAAAGAGGGAAAAAAACAAAAAAAAAAAAAAAAAAAAAGAATAAGTTTGAAGCCTGTATCAATCATATGTATTATAGACAAGTTAGACTTTAAGAATGGGTTGTGTATTGAGTTTCTGTTTATAAAGTATATATTTGATTTTGATGACAAGCTATGGTTGTCAAAAAAAGAAAAGTAGGGATTTTTAGCCTCTGTTGTTTAGTTTCCTCATTTTTGCTTCTCATGTTGGTTATATGTATAAAGGATTGAGATGTAATATCCCATTTCATATTTCCTACCCAACTCCTATAAATCTTGATCTCATATTGACAAGTAATATAATCTAAAGATTATTTATAGCAAAAAATGCCTCTCGAATCTGGACTACATTGACCATCTTTAACTGCTTTGGCCCTACAGATTTTTTCTGTTCAAATTATCACAACACATACTTACATGTCATACCCATAATAACATAGGATTTCATCTTCCGGAATTCCAAGTCATCAAAGATGCAAATCATCATTAATGCAACATAGCCTCTTTGGCAACAAGCTGATGCATAAACACAATTATTAACAGCACACAAGAATTAAAATAAAAAATCAAAGAAATAAACATCAATTCATTCTATATGAAATCATGATACTTAAAAACTACGTCAAAGAAGGAAGCATCTTCGTAACTTTAAGTACTAAGATCAATTAGAAAATATCATCTCATGTATAATAAGAAATCCAATTTATAGTGAACCAAAATTTTATGGAAGAAATGTATAATGAAGTCCAGATGAAGTGCCATCAACAGCTTTTAACCAATCAGTATAAACAACAAAAATAAAAAAATAAAACCAGATTATGGAATTGAGATATTAAAGGACTACCTGAAATGGATACTTCAATTAGGTTTTTATCATCTGTAATAACAATAAGCTTTTTTGTTCTTTCTTTCCTCTCCTGCTTCTCTCAATGTTCTCTTCTCTTCTCTGCCTTAGTATCCCATACCCATTACCTCTTCCTCCAGACTCATTAAATTTGTGCCATTATTGAGTGGTTTGCTTCTAGTTTTTCCTTCCTGCATTTATATACCTCTCATCCATGAATGGTTTTCCGATTAATTTTGTAGATAAACAAAAGCAAAATGCTGGGCAATAAACAATTAATTTATCGAGGGAGATTGCTATACATATCTAGTGAAACTTTATTAGAATTACTACTAACTAATATGTTGCTAGCAAGGTCAGCGCCTGCCTGCATTAGTTGCATATATAGCTCGTCTCATCTAACACACAAATAGCTAGGACTAATGTGACAGAGTGAACAAATCTTATCTCATACTTTAGTGAAGGCAATGAGTACGGCAGAACTGAGGGGTAAGACAGATTATGAATCATGTACAAGTAATTAAAAAGTCTCTTTAATTTACAAGTTTCAAGTACAAGTCTATAGCTATCTTAATCTTCCCATCTCATAGTTTCAATCACCAATTTCTCTATCTTTTTTCTCATGGATTCTCCAAGTCGATTTCTTTTCTGGTACTATAAATATAAAGACAAAATCTCATTACCCTCCTACCATAGAGACAATGAGAGTGTCAAAACTCATCAATTATCCTCACACTTTACATTTTCTTTTATTTCACTGTTTTGGAGTAACAACAGAGAACGAGGATGTTCCATCGTTATCCAAATACCTAACCAATGACTTAAACAAATAATCAGGATTTTAATCAATAATCTCAGTCAACAGATATACAACATGCACAGATGATATGTAAATTTCTATGTAAAGCAAAATTCAGTGATTCAACAAATAGAGGAAAAGTCAAGTATAGCTGAAGGTTAAATGATCCTAAATACCTCTTTTCTTGTGGTACGCATAGCCAGGGACAGGTGGTCATTGAAACCGGAAATAACACTGGGCCCACCCATTGCTCCAAACAATCACAAGGCCACGCAGGTCTACAAAATTGCCCACATTCCTGGAGTTATGTGTGGCACAGGAAACTATTTTGCCATCAAACTGACGGAGAAAGACGATGAAACTCATTAAAAGCCTTTAACTGAGAGCTTCAGAGGGTGACAATTAACATCGTTAAGTGCTGCATAAATAATCCAGAACTCAGTCAGAACAAAATGCAAATGGTTGAATAGCTGACAAGATGAAGAGAACTGCTCAATGATTCCTGTGGTACATAGACACAGTAGTCAACCAAAAAAGAAACATTTAAGAATAAATTGACGCTGTGTATCAAATACATATGATAGTCAAGCTAGAGATTTGAAGACTAAGTTATGAGGATTACGTTTGTGTTATAAGTAAGTAATGGAGGTTGGATGACGAGTTAGGTTGTCTTCAACAAAAAAAAAAAAAAAAAATCAGAGCATTGTTCTTTGATTTTTTTTTTTTTTTTTTTTTTTTTTTTTTTTTTGGTTTTGCTTCTCTTGTTGATTAGGTGCGTAGAGAAGCAAGATCTATTCTCCTATTTCATATTCCCACCACACTAACAAATTTTATCTCAGATTCGGAAACAGAAAAGAGACAAAAAGATAACAGGACGAAATAAATTCTAAAGTAAGCAAGGGGAGAAGATTCTGAGATGAAGCCTCCTCTTCCAGAACATGAAACAAGATATGCATCAATCTTGATAGTGTATGTTCAGTTGCCCAAAATTTCACAATAAATTTACGAATCGATAAAGTACAGCTTTGAATATAGGAAAGCTCTCACACAAATAGTAAGCATGACTGCAGCTATATGATTGCATTTTGGACAAGCAATTGAGTAACAAATCTAAGCCATTCATGCTTCAGAGCAGGTTTGACCCTTAAGATCAACAATAAGGTTTAAATATACTGAGAACTACTAACATAAATAAGAACAACATCAACAGGTTATGTAAGGCTGATAGATGTCTTCAGTATTTCTTAGAAGCATGCATTTTGTTACTTCGACAACATTTTCATATATGTAAGACAGTTTTAGGAATACTGGAAAAGTCTAATCATTATATATCATTCATATTCTTGTATCTTTTCATATAATACAACTAAAATAAATACCTCTAGCCCTTTTCATCCTTGTGCCTTAATTCAAAAATACACCTTTTAGCCAAACTCAGAACTAGCCTTGAGTCACCTAACAATACAATGGAGTTCATGTAACATACCGTACGATAACTTGGAATTACACACAAAGAACTAAAGACTTTTACTAACAATAATGCAAATTAAAATGAAAAACAATGTAATAATAGGTACAAAAATGATGATATAAAGCCAATTATTTTAAAAGATGAAAAAAAAAAAAAATAGGGCAAAATACTGACCTAAACTAAGCTCTGTATCTTCTTCAACTAAATGGATTTTTTCTTTGTTTCTCTGAGTTCCGATTATGGCTAAAATACAAAATTTCCACATTTTATCATCGACCAAACAAAGCAAAAAGTGACCCCTCTCATCAATTTGGTGGAAAAAAGTTACTCTAACTCATTCCATTCAACTCTTAATCCCAACAAAAATTGAGGATTCTAAAACTAGCAGCTTTTCTCATTTTCTACTGTTTTCCCTCAGTTTTCACCAACAAAACAGACCTTTTCGTCCCTCATCGCAAACCAATCCGACCCCTCAAGGAAAAATAGAAAAAAGTACGACCCCACGAAACTTTCAAGCCAAAACACCACTCAAACAGGCAAAACCCTTCGGGTCTGACTCTTTTCAAAACCGGGTCGACCCGAAAACTTCTCAGTAAGGAAAGAGCGAACGAGGCGATCAAGACGCGATAACATCGGCGACAGCATCCTTGAACGAAGCGCCCGCTGAGGGAAGAGGCCGAGGTGGTCAGCAGCCTCCTTAGCGGACCGGCCAAAAGGGCAGAAGGATCCGACCCGGATTGAATGGGTCCGGAGGAATGAGTAACGGGTACAGGATGCTAAGGCAGAGAAAATAAGGGTGAGAGAGGCAGAAGAGGAAGTGGTAGAGCTTGTCTGGAGCTAGCCATGGACTTGGTCTGCGTTCCACTGTCCATGGCGGCAATTAAGAGAAAAGAGTTTTGTTTGGAGTCAAATGAGAGTTTATATAGTAATAGGACCTGAATTAACTCACTTTTTTACAAGCAATTATTGAGCCAAAATCTTTAGAACCCCTATAGTTTTAACTCGCTATTCTAACCCTACTTCTTGTTTAGTTATTGTTTTACATCATTTTGGCATTGGCACTATACAAATATGTATAGTTGCTTCGCACTGTCTAAAGAGAAAATGACCGTTGGATTTATCATGCGACCAATTTTTAATATGAAGAAAATACTAAACTACCGCCACACGGGTAACGGTTTAGGCATGTTCTCCTGGCTTCAATAGAGATGCCAACGGGGCGGGCAAGGTCGGAATTCCCATTCCCATCCTTAGAGGTGGAAAGCAGCCCGCCCAGCCGACCGCAGCGGGTTGCGCAAAGTGGAGGGTCGGTCCTGACCCACCCGCCGACATTGGCAGGACGGGTTAGGCCCGCTAATGTTGGGGAATTGGCTGGCCCAACCCGGACCGCCAACCCTAACCGCCCGGGTTAGGCGCGGGTTGGGCGGGTTAACCCTCATTTTGATTTTTTTTTTTTTTATTTTGTTTAAGTTTAATATTTAATTAACTTTTCAAATGATAATTAACAATTTATAAATGAATAAATGTAATTGTTTTTATTAAGTGTAACTCTTCTTTCAAATATCAATAATTAATTAAATTAAATTTTTTTTGTTAACATTCCAAATATTAATTCAATTTTAATACATTAAAATTGTAAATAAGAAAAATTAAATTTATTCATTTAAAAAATAAAGAGTGCAATAATTGACAATTAATTTACAACTTACAATTTACAAAACAACTAATTTTGGGGTTCACTAAAACCTCCCTCACCATATATCTATATTACAAAATTGAAATGATTCTATTAAAGTATCGTCGACAACCTTGTATTGACCTTGATGGCGCGACCGTTCCCAATCTCGAAGACATGTGAGGACTTCAATCATTTTGGTAAAAGTTTAGTCCTCCTTTCATTTAAAATTCTTCCACTTGCACTAAATGTTTGTTCGAATGAGACGGTTGAGACAGGAACAATGAAAACATCCAAGGCAAATCTTGAAATATCGGAAAAATACATTTTCGGCTCTCCAATAGTCTAAGAGATCAATGTTGGCTCTCTGTTGTGGATCTACTGGTAACATTTCAGGGTTGCCAAATATTGTTGAAGCTCATTACTCTACGACTATGTGGAAGATAATACATTAGTTGTTGTGTTGGTGGAGCTTGAAGAGGAGGTTGTGCTTCGGATTTGGGTCCTCTTTGGCCTATTCAATGCACCCCAAGAGTAGAAATTCATTTGTTTCTTCTGATGCAGCTTCCCTAGTTGTTTCGCCTCTTTGCAGGTTCCATACCTGTTTTCATATTGGAAATATATTTCGAAAAGTCTATTTTTTACCTCTCCTATTTGATTGGCATATACTTCGGTTTGTAATTTTCACATAATTGTCAAAACCATTTTAAACCTGCTAATTTAATCTATAATCAAATATAGCACCTAAACAAATAAAGAAAGGAATGGGTTCCCAATATTTTAAAAAAAAAAAATTCCATTGCCTTTATTAGTGCATTTAAAATTTCATTGTCTTTGTTTTTTATAAATAACTCGGAAATTTTTATAATTGTATGTATTACCAATGGACTAGTAGGATAATACACACCAGAAAGTTGCAAAGTGGATTGGTAAAAAATTTTAAGAAAAGAAAAAATACTTTAGCTATTTGCCAATTATTTCTACCAATAATGAGGACCTCTATTTTTGGTACAAAATAACTAATTATATTAGCATAAGGTAAACATGAATCAAGCACTAAATAAGTACTATTCCATCTAACAGGCATGCTAATGCAAAAGTTCTAGGAGACATATTTGTTTTATATAAGCGTCTTGAAATTCAGCATTCTTTATTACTACTAGTAATCCAAGCTAAACAATCTCTATTCTATAATATATTTTTAATTGTTTTAATACCACTTTTCACAATTAAATAATAACATGGCATGCACAACGTTGGTGAAAAAACTTCAAATTGTTATATAAGGATAATTACTTTGAAAATAATCTATAGCTTTACTATTAGAACTTGCATTATCTAAAGTTAAATTTATCACTTTACTAACAATATCATAACTTTCTAAAACTTCAACAATTTATATAAATTTGTTCACCACTATGATCAACATCCATTAATCTAAATCATAATAAAGATTTATTTAATTTACATTCATTATCAAAATAATGACTAGTCACACAAATATAATCTGTTTAGCTCTACCACTCCAAATATCTGCAGTTAGAGCCACACTAACATGACAAGTATGTATTTTATTTTTTAATTCTAATTTCATTTTTCTAAACAATTTTATTAAATCATTTCTAGTTGCAGTTTTAGAATAACTTTTAAATCCTGAAAAAAAATGAATTTTGAACAAATCTTTCAAAATATTTATCTTCAGCCATATTAATAGGTTGATCAGTTGCAGCAATATATAAAGCTAACTGTTCTCTATATACATCAGAATTATAACGCCAAGTAGTACCCATATTAGTTATTTCAGTTTGATTGCTTCCTCTATTTCCATATTGATTAATATGTTTATTAGTATGTCTTTTTAAAGTACTAGTACCATTACCTGAATTAACTTTATAAATATTTTCACAGTATTTGTATCTCGCTTTCTTGACTTGAATGCCATTTTCTGTCTCGTAAAACTTGTCGAAATGCGCCCAAACGTCTGATGTGTGTCTGTCTTCAGTTTCGACGGCAATTGATGATCCCGCCTCAGCTTGAGATGAAGTTG